ACACGGTTCTGGCTGCTATGGGTTCCCCCGTATGACTATAATTAATTAGGAGTAGTGGTAGGTCGGTAGTGTGAGGTGAAACTGAGGGCATACTCCCACGAGGACCAAAAGACCCAAAATCCTAAAAATTGAGTCATTTTTCGGGTCACACTGGAGAGGCTCGCTACCCAAATGCCTCAAACGGTGACCCTTCTGTCAGCGGCCTGCCGGGCTGCGGGCGTACCCTTTTTGTTTTGAGACCACCTCCAGAGGTGGTCTCAAATTACCTTTCGTTTTTTTTTTTTTTTTTTTTCTTTCTGTTTTTGCGAATTGAAGACAGCTCGCCAAACAACTGAAAGTGTGACCGGGAACATTTACATTGTAGATAAGGCCCACGCGTTATACTAGTAGCATGAAAAAAAAATAATAATAAAAAAAAATCCATCTTTTCGTTTGGTCCTCCCCCGTGTGACCGGCGCACTTGCCCTGAATGCGAAGTGTCAGGGTTGCAACTTCGTCCTTACTGGACGAGGTCCTCCCGTGTGACCACACACGGGGACCAAATGCCTAAAGAAAACCAAACCAAATGCCTAAATTTTTTGAGACTTTTGGTCCCCATGAGTATGCCCTGAGGGCCGCGAGGATCAAAAAACCCGAAATCGCAAAATTTGAGTCATTTTCCTGGTCACACTGGAGAGGCTCGCTACCCAAATGCCTCGAAGGGTTACCCTTCTGTCAGTGGCCTGCAGGGCCGCGGGCGTACCTTTCTTGAGACCACCTCCGGAGGTGGTCTCAAATTACCTTTTTTGAGACTTTTGGTCCCCGTGTGAGTATGCCCTGGGAGAAGAACACATGCGCCTAGGGCAGTGGGTACACCCATGAACTGCTCAAAAAAGATACAGACCTGTGTTCGAATTCAGACGATGATGGCACTTGATTGATGAGTCGAAGTTGTAAAACCAAGTAATTTCGGTCGGAACTGCCTATGTTCTTCTCTCAAATTCGTTTTTCGCCTTTTTTTTTTTTTTTTTTTTTTTTAATTCAAACCTGATTATTGCAATGATAAACAAGGGAGGCCGGGGACCTCACAATTCTACCCGGAGACCGACACTAGTTCTGACACTGCCAGACCAACCTGGCGGATAGCGATGCGAACAATAAACTGGCCAGACCAACCTGGCGGACAAATGCGAAACCTCGTAACTCCACTCGAACTCCGGCTTAGCAGGCGGCCCCCCTTGACCCTAATTTGGATCCAGAGCCTAACAACTGAACCTCAAGGCATGCAGAGCTACCCAGTGGCAGGTAGAGCCAGCCTTCTGAACGTAACCGACATTCCTCCCCTTGACCCAACTCCATTACTCCTATCCCTTGACCCCCTCCAACTATCAACTATTAACCCGGTTAAAGACTCTACTCTTCCGGAAGTAGCTATCCCTGCTGTCCTGTTGTTCATGGTTCCTGTCTCCATTGGGACGTTGCACGGCAAGATTATGGTTCCTGCGCTCATGGGCTAAGAATAATCGGCCGGTAGCCGTCTCAGCTGCAACAGGGAAATTGGTCCTGTCTCCATGGTTAAGGGCAGTGTGAACTGCAGATGAACAACAGGACAGCAGGGATAGCTACTTCCGGAATTGTAGTCTTTTTTTTCCCCTTTCACTACCTTCCTACTACTACTCCTAGGGGACCCCTGCAAGCATAGGGCCTCGCAAACGAGGTAATTCATGTTGCCCCCCTCCCCAAAATCGGTAGTCAGCACAAGAAGATCGAAAAAAAAAAAAAAAAAAGAAAGAAAGAAAGAAAGACGCCCTGATTTTTGTTTTTTGTGCATGTCGAGAGCAGTGCAGCGACGCCCATGGCTGAGGGAGTTCGAGTGTATCACCGGGGCCAAGTCCCACTAGCAGCTTTGAGCTGCCTCAACGCCTGAATCTGGACGTTTTTGCAGAGATGTGCAGAAATGGTGTTGAGTTTCCTGAACTGCACTTCTCCACAAACACGTCCAGATTCAGGCGTTGAGGAAGGTCCACGCTGCTAGTGGGACTTGGCCCCCGACAACAACCTGCCAGACTGTCCGCAGGAGAATCTTTCAGAAAGGAAAAGATACAAAAAGAAAAAGGTCAAAAGGGACCTACTGAATCTAATCCTAGATTGCATTAGGTCCACTACAGAAAGAATAGGGGCATGGCTGCAATTACGGCGGTGTATCTTTCCATATTCTAGTGGAAGATTCACTCTCGTTTTGCATATTTCGAGAGTAGTGCAGCGAGGCCCTAGGGCATGTTTTTCATGAGCTGTCATACATAACTCTTGCAAACGTCAAGCCTTGTCGTGGCTGCACTACTCGGCTCGCGAAAATACATTTCTTTCATGAGCTGTCAGGAAGATCATACGACTTTTTTTTTTTTTTTTTTTTTTTTTT